CTCTCTGTCTGTCTGGCAAGCGCACGCGCCCTACAGTGAAAATCTCTCCAAAAAAAAAAAAGAAAGAAAAATTATTTAAAAAAAGTCTCATGACTTTTTCAACAACCCAATATAATGAACTGTGAACTAGAAGAGAAAAACCTCATTTAAAAAATGAGAATAATAATAAAGTACATGTATAAATGTTAATGAATTCATATCCCAAATTCCTTGTACTGTAATTTTTAGTCTCAGATCTTTTCAAGATCCTTTTCCTAACTTTGCTGTGTTCTCTCAGGGAACATGAATGGTTTAAACAGGACCTTCCAAAATATCTCTTTCCTGAGGATCCATCATATAGTTCAACCATGATTGATGATGAAGCCTTAAAAGAAGTATGTGAAAAGTTTGAATGCTCAGAAGAGGAGGTTCTCAGCTGCCTTTATAATAGAAATCACCAGGACCCTTTGGCAGTTGCCTACCACCTCATAATAGATAACAGAAGAATAATGAATGAAGCCAAAGATTTCTACTTGGCAACAAGCCCGCCTGATTCTTTTCTTGATGATCACCATTTGACTCGACCCCATCCTGAAAGAGTACCATTTTTGGTTGCTGAAACACCACGGGCACGCCATACTCTGGATGAATTAAATCCACAGAAATCCAAACACCAAGGTGTAAGGAAAGCAAAATGGCATTTGGGAATTAGAAGTCAAAGTCGACCAAATGATATCATGGCAGAAGTATGTAGAGCAATTAAACAATTGGATTATGAATGGAAGGTAAGAAAGAGAGCATTCTGATTATTAGTATATTTGGCAAACCTATAGTCTGGGAACTGGTATACAGAAGAATTGCTTTTGACTTTGTGTTTGTCCACACTACATGCAGGTTGTAAACCCGTATTATTTGCGTGTACGAAGGAAGAATCCTGTGACAAGCACATTTTCCAAAATGAGTCTTCAATTATACCAAGTGGATAGTAGAACTTACTTACTGGATTTCCGTAGCATTGATGGTATGTGCATCACACAAAACAACATAGAGGATATATTCAAACTGGTTACCTAACTTGGGTTTCTTTCTCTTTATTTGTATTTATTTATTTATTTTTTGAGTTTTTTGCTATAGGGCGCGTGTGCTCACCAGAAAGGCAGAGAGACAGAGAGACAGAAAATGAGAAATCACCCCCTAGGGGGGATGGCCACGCCGCAGTCCCTTCTTCTCCATTCTCCTCTCGGGATCTTGGGCACACATGCACACACGCCCAACATGAGTTTAAGCCACCAGGACCAGGACTTGAACCATGGTTGGCTACATGGGAGTCCAGCAACATAGCTGTTATGCCAACTGCTGGTCCCTATTTTTTTTTTTAAATAATTATCTTATTTAATGTTATTTATTTATTTACTTATTTATTTTAGTTTGACCAGGAAGGGACAGAGCGAATGAGAGAGAGAGAAAGTGAGAAAGCAAGCGGCCAGATCTGGGACTAGAGAGAAAGAAAAGGGAAAGTGAGAAAGCAAACCGCTTCTGGGACTTGAACCTTGGTTGATCATGTGGGAGTCCAGGGCTCTTAACCCCCATGCCAACTGCTGGACCCAGATTTCTTTAGTTTTTGGTTCTTTTGCATCTTCCTGACTTTTGTCTACCAATTCAGTATCAAAGGAATATAAAATGTGACTTGTGTGCCTTTACAATGTTAATATTTGTCAATCTTGTTATACTTGAAATCTTTTTTTGCAAAGATTTATTTAATTTTTATTTATTATTATTAGTTTTTAATTTATTATAGGGGATGTACACTCATCAGAAAAACAGAGAGAGAAGGAAAAAGAAAGCAAGCCACCAGAACTGGGACTTAAACTGTAGTTGGCCATGTGGGAGTCCAACACCTTACCTACCATACCAACTCCTGGTTCCAATACTTAAAATCTTACAGTGTATTATTTTGAAGTTTTTCTTATCATAAGATCCTTTAAGCCAGATATAGTCTGATTCTATAGTGATAATTTTCTGTCTCTCTCTTTTTTTTTTTTTTTTTTTGCTAGAGGCCGCATGCACTTGCCAGAGAGAGACAGAGAGACGGGGAGAGGAGAAAGCAAACCCCATGGGGAAATGGTCACACTGCAATCCCTTCTCCTCCACTGCTCCCTCCTTTCAGGATTTTGGGCACATATGCTCACATGTTCTTCAAGTTTCCAGGCCTAGGACTTGAACCTTGAGGTAGGCCATGTGGGATCCAGTTGCTTTAACCATCAGGACTGCGTGTCCCCTTTTTTGTTTTTTTATATGGTTTCCTTTGTAAAATAAAACAATATATTTAGAAATAAATTTTGGCCCAGACTTGGTATTATAGGCAGTAGCATACTGAACCTGTAGGACTGGAAGCTACATGGTTGACTGTGGGTTCAGATCACCAGTTGACCTGAAAACACTCTGGGTGTGCACATGCCCACGATCCTGACATACCAGAGGGCTGGAGGAGAGAATCATGGAATGATGAGACCCTGTCCTAGGTGTCACAATCTGTCAGGTGCTACATGCATGTGTTCTCTCTCATGAATAAAGTCAACTGAAAAAAAGAATAGGGCTGGATCAGCAGGTGGCGTAGTGGTTCAGGTGCTAGACTCCCACGTGGTCAACTATAGTTCGAGTCCCAGACTCATTGGGTTGAAATCACACCAGGTGGGACCAGCAGTTAGCCTAATGGCTATGTCGCTGAACTCCCATGTAGTTGACTGTGGTTCGAGTCCCAGACCCGGGCATGTGTGTCTGTGCGTGCCTAAGATCCCAAGAGGAGAATGGAGGAGAAGGGATTGCTGTGTGGCCATCTCCCCTGGGGGGTGATTTCTTGCTTTTTATCTCTCTGTTTCTGTCTTTCTGGAGAGCACATGTGCCCTATAGCAAAAAAAAAAAAAAAAAAAAAGGAAGTTACACCAGGTATGTTTGCACACATGCCTAAAATCCCAGAAGGAGAAGAGAGGAGAAGGGATTGCTGTGTGGCAATCCCCCCTAGGGGGATCATTTCTCATTTTTCTTCTCACCATCTCTTTCTCTCTCTCTGTCTCTGGTGAGCACACACACTTGGCTAAACCCTAAAAAACAGACAAACAAAAAATGGGGCCAGCCCTAGTATGGTGATTAACGCAGCTGGATCCCACATAGCACTCCACAGTTCAAGTCCCTAACGCAACAGTTTGATAAACGTGGTATCTGTGTGTGTGCATGCCCCCAAAATAGGAAGAAATGGTAGAGAAGAGATTAGAGCTTTACTATTCACCATGAAAGCGATGCTTTCTCACCCTCCCACCCCTTGTCTCTCTCTGGTGAGTGTGTGCATCCTCAGGAAAAGTGAAAAAAAATACAGATGAGAGTAGCAGATGGTGTAATAGTTATGCAGCTGGACTTCATATAGTCGACCGTGGTTCGAGTCCAGGACCTGTTGACTTGAAATTCATGCCAGGCATGTGTGTATGCATGTCCAAGATTTATAAAAATTATACATATAGTCTGAACTATAGAAAGGGTATTTTTCTCATTGGCTTTGCATCCAATTTGTAACTGCAGTTTTATTAGCAATGAGCTTTATCAGTTAAATGACCATTTACTGTTTTTATCTTTTATTTCCAATTTGAATTTTTCTATGATTTTTTTTGTTCATTAGCATTGTTGCTATTTTATGAAATCTTACATGAATTATGAAGAGAAAGTGAAAAGCACTGAGCGAGACTAGATTTAGGCTCTAAATTTAGCTTTCTGTTCATTTGTTGCCTTTTTGTTTGTTATATTTGTTCTGTTCATTGTTATCATAAATCACTTTATTTTTTTGAGGGGGAGAGGTTTTGCTATAGGGCACATGCACTCGCCAGAAAGACAGAGAGAGACAGACAGAAAGTGAGAAATCCCCCCAACCCCCGAGGACATGGCCACGCCGCAGTACCTTCTCTATTCTCCTCTCGGGATCTTGGGCACGCGTGCACATGTGCCTGGCATGAGTTTAAGCCACTGGGTCTGGGACTCGAACTGCAGTCGATTACATGGGAGTCTAGCGACATAGCCATTCGCCAACTGCTGGTTCCTCACTTAACTTCTCTGGGTTCACATTTTCTTACCAGTAAAATGAGGGATTAGGTGAGATAATTCAAGATACCTTCCAAATTTCAAGTGCATTGATTCTGTGATTTAATTTTTTATCAAAGCTTCACTTCATGAATGATACAGAGACAAACCATCCACCCCTAACCCCTGCTTAGTGCAGATCATGTGCTAGCACATGTGTGCGCAGTGTACTCAGGGACATCTCTGTATGCAAACTGGCAATCTTGCCACGTGGTTCCACTCACAGAATGCTGAATTTTGTTGCTACACCATAGTGTGGACCCCAGAGTCTATGATTTTAATATAGAAGGATTAATTTTTATAGCTAGAGAATGGTGTCTCTTAAATTCAGGTTATTGGTTTACAAGGCTCTTAATCTTGGGTTGCAAGATTGATGAGTGGCTGCATACTGTTTTTGTTTTTTTTTTGAGAGGTTTTTGCTATAGGGTGTGTGCGCTCACCAGACAGACAGAGACAAAGAGACAGAAAGTGAGAAATCACCCCCCAGGTGAATGCCCACACCACAATCCCTTCTCCTCCGTTCTCCTCTCGGGATCTTGGGCACGCTCACACACGCACCCGGTGTGAGTTTTTTAAGCCACCGGGTCCGGGACGCAAACTGCAGTCGACTACATGGGAGTCCAGCGACATAGCCATTACGCTAACTGTACTGTTCTTAATCTAGAACAGCCATCAGAAGAACATATGCTATTTATATAAAAGGTGAATAGGAGCCAGATGGTAGTACAGCGGTAAGGCAACTGGACCCATATGGGAAGGCCCAAAGTTTGTGTCTCAGGGCCTCCCTATATACACTGTGTGTGTACCTGTGCCCTTGAACCAGACTGACTAGAAGGGGGATCCTGGCATGAAGTCCCTGTCGGGGTGCTTGTCACTCTCTTCTCTGTCTCTGTGTCTCTCTCATGGAAGGAATTGGTAAATACAAACTTAAATGGTGTGTGTTTTAACTTAGGTTCATCGCTTCTATTTTAGGTTTCTTTCTTGTTATAGGTTTTTTTTATTTTTTAAATTTTTTGCCATAGGGTGTATGCATTCGCCATTGAGAGACAGAGAGGGACAATGAGAGGTAAAATGAGAAATCATTCCTCAAGAGAATGGCCACAAAATTCCTTCTCCTTCATTCTCCTGGGATTTGGGGCACACATGCACATGCGTCCTGTGTGATTTTCAAGCCTCCAGGTCTGGGACTCAAACCATGTAGGAGTCTAGTACATTAACCCTGTGGCATCTACTGGACCCTCTATTTTAGGTTTTCCTTTTTAAAGAATGATTTATTTAACTTTTTAAATTATTATTATCATTACTATTATTTTAACTTGTCCAGAGAGAGAGAGAAAGAGAAGTGAGAAAGCAAGCTTCCAGATCCAGGGCTTGAACTGTAGGATTCTTGCACCTTAACCACCATGCCACCTGCCTGCCCCAACTTTAGGTTTTTTTTTTTTTTTAAATGTTTATTTATTTAATTCCATTTGTTGTTACTGTTTCTTTAATTTGACCAGAGAGACAGAGATAGAGAGAAAGTGAAAGTGAAAAAGCAAGCCACCAGGTCCAGGATTCAAACCATGGTCGGCCATGTGGGAACCCAGCACCTTTAACCACCATGCCACGTGCTGGCCCCCAACTTTAGGTTTTTTAAATCATATTTTCAATAGCTGTTCAGTATTATTACTTGAAAAGCCAAATTTAATATCGTTAAATGAATTTGGGGGGAAGTCGTAGATTATAATACATTGAAATTCTTTTTACCCAGATGAAATTACAGAAGCCAAATCAGGGACTGCTACTCCACAGAGATCGGGATCTGTTAGCAACTATCGATCTTGCCAAAGGAATGATTCAGATCCTGAAGTTCAAGGAAAATCCTCAGAAGTTTCTCTTACCTCATCTGTGACGTCACTTGACTTTTCTCCTGTTGACATAACTCCATGACCTGGAAGTCACACAAGAGAATTTTTTGAGATGTGTGCAAATCTAATTAAAATTCTTGCACAGTAAACCTAAACCTTTGCTTATTTCTTTGATAGCAATAAGCATGCATAATAAATCATAGCCAAATGCTTCCGTTTATAACCAAGTTATTCATATTATAACTAAGAATTGGCCTTTTGGAATGCAGTTTGCACAGGGATTGGAAGATTGATTAATAGTTAAAAGTTTAATGTGCAGAAATTAAGGCAATTTCGTTGCTCATTATTTAGCAGGCATATAGCATATATTTAATATACACAATGAATTATAGATCTCTCAGGCTCACTTGATTTTTTTGGCTATTTTATATTTAGTGTACATAGGGCTTTGAGAATATTAATTTACCATAAAGGCCTTCATATATTATTACATGTTGATGTGTTACATATTTGCTTAATGAATTTATTCAATAAATATTGCCTAGAATTCCTGGAGATGTTTATAGGTGATTTTGTTTTCTGGGCTCCTTAACTTCTTAAATAGCTAGTATCTTCCTCTCATAGTGTCTGGATAACTACATATCCCACTCTTAAAGTTCTATAGTATGTGGTAAGTCATATCAGATATTAGACTCAATTAATTTTTTTTCTTTAGCTTCGTAAGTCCAAGAACACAGAGTATATATATTCAGATACTTTAGGCACTAAGTTTAATATTAAAATCTGTCCCACTGTATTCTGTACATAAAGTGTTCTTTTTGTTACAAGAGCTATGTTGCATACAGTGTAAATAAATCATGTTTTTGCCAATTTCATAAATACAACTGACTCATAATGTCAATCAGTATTGAGTATATGCAAAAATGTCTAGTCATTTTGACAATCTCTTAAATTGATTCAATATTTAGAAAGAACATCTCTTATAAACTAAATGCTTGGATATGACTTTGTCCCCCAAATTTTATTATAAACATTCTTAAAAGCAAAAAAATTGAGACCGTAGGGTGATACCATGTGTTTACCATTTAGATTAAACAATTGTTAACATTCTGCTTTATTTTCTGTTTATTTATGTATAAAGATATAGTTATACATATACATGTGTATGTAGAATCGTTTTTTCTTCTTAATCATTTGGGTCACACCGTTATTCCCTTAGATATTGCAGATATGTCCAAAAAATGACATTCTCCAAAAAAATAAAAAGTAATACTAGAATTATGAGACGAATAATTTTCTAATGTCATCTAGTAATGAATCTATATTTAGATTTCCTCAGTTATCTTCCAAATTTCTTTTATAGTTGGTTATTTCGAACCAAGATCCAGCTGTTGAATTGTCGGAAAAGTCATGACGCGTTTATGCATAGAAAAATATGCTCGCCAGAAAGACAGGAAGTGAGAAATCACCCCACCGGGGGGATGGCCACGCTGCACAGGCCACACAGGCGCCCATCGTGTGTTTAAGCCACCAGGTCCAGGACTTGAACCACGGTGGAACCACATGGGAGTCCAACGACATAGCCATTATTCCAACTGCTGGTCCCATATCCTGAATTTTCTGACGACCCAATAGTTTACACATTCGTTGGTTCTGTCTCTTTATTCGGATTATTATTTTGATAAAATATGAACAAATTGGTTCTTTGAAATGTTCACATTTATTTTGGGTTTTAATTACTTTTTAAAACACCGCATTGTGGGAACTGTCAAAAGATGTTTAATCATCCTAAGATCTCAGACTTACATTTATATATATATATATTTTTTTTTTTTCATTCTTAGTAACAGGATTACGTAATAGGTATAAATGAAGATTTAAAGTAACTTCAGATGAAACTGGTACCATGTGTATGCTAATAAGAAAATTATTGTATCACTCATATTTGCCTTATATGTCATTAAGAAATTATTTTTTGAAGCATTAATCATTTCCTCATTGAAATGGAACTTTTTTTTTTGTCTTAAAAGAATCATTGTATTTTAGGGTTGTTTTTGGCAAATATGGTGAGCACCTATGTAACCAGATGATATTATGCATAAATATCATGGTAACTTATGCAGATTGTTACTCTAGTTGTGGACTTGACCCCAGTACCTCTAAAATCATGCACTGAATTTAAAAGAAAAACTGTGCTTTTTTTCCAGGGCTTGTTCTATTCAACTTTGAATTTAAAAACTGTATAAATAGAAGATCCATTTAAATATCAGTAAAAGATGTTTAATCATCCTAAGATCTCAGACTTACATTTATATATATATATATATATTTTTTTCATTCTTAGTAACAGGATTACGTAATAGGTATAAATGAAGATTTAAAGTAACTTCAGATGAAACTGGTACCATGTGTATGCTAATAAGAAAATTATTGTATCACTCATATTTGCCTTATATGTCATTAAGAAATTATTTTTTGAAGCATTAATCATTTCCTCATTGAAATGGAACTTTTTTTTTTGTCTTAAAAGAATCATTGTATTTTAGGGTTGTTTTTGGCAAATATGGTGAGCACCTATGTAACCAGATGATATTATGCATAAATATCATGGTAACTTATGCAGATTGTTACTCTAGTTGTGGACTTGACCCCAGTACCTCTAAAATCATGCACTGAATTTAAAAGAAAAACTGTGCTTTTTTTCCAGGGCTTGTTCTATTCAACTTTGAATTTAAAAACTGTATAAATAGAAGATCCATTTAAATATCAGTTCAAAACTATTTCTGACTTGTATATGGCTCTCTCTTTTGTGGATATTGATTTCTCACTTAGGCTTTCTAAATGCAGCATTATGTTCCTGAAGTTACCAGAAGATTGTATTTTTAAAGTTACAGATTTGTATATAGAATAAGTAATGTCTCTACGCTGTTGTGGGGAGGGGGAAGAAAAGGAGGGACCAATTAAATAGGACCTTCTGAAAATTGTTAATTTTGTAAACTTTGCTTCTTTTATAAGTTATTGTGATTCCTTTTAGTTACTGAGTTTTATTTTGAATATATTTAAACATTGCACTTGTACAAATAGTGTGATAAATACACTGACTGTTGCAGTTAATTCTTTTTTAAGCTAGGATTTTTGAAATGACAATTTTTGGTCAAATGTGTCAAGGTTGCAACAGAATTTTCACAAATTTATTGTAGTTTGCAAATTCTTATTGCTAATATTGAAGAGGTAAGGAGAGTCAATGCAAATGATTTTTAATCTTTTTTTAATCTTTTCAGCAATTTATATTTTTTGTGATTTTATGCTACCATATTTTTACTTTGTCTTGACAACTGAAAGATGTGTAAGGTTTTTGCCAGAAATGTACTGTATACATAGTTTTAAATATAACCAATTTTACTGATATGTAAAAATTTTGCCATTAAAATAATTGATTTCTCACAGAGAGGGACTTTTCTATCAGGTTGGGGTAAATGGGAGCTTAATATATCATATCTAATTTAAAATAATTTCACTGAAGTAAACTCCATTGCTTTTACTTTGATTATATTTTTTTCTTGAGATGCTTTTGTAGTTTTTCAGAGTTTTAAAGATTTTATACAAAATCCTTTCCTGCTTAACCCAGACTGCCCTTTTTTTATCTTGTAGTGACAGGAAAGATGTTAAACTATGCATCTGTGGTCAAACTGGCACCTTCAGAATGAAAGAAAAATGTGTGTTTAAATATTTTTTTCCCCTTAACCTCTCCCATCTCCTCACCCACATTAGAGATCTCATTTTCATGGTGAGTTCTCCTGACTAGATGAATAAAATTCCACATACAGCATTTAACTGTAAATTGGTGATAGGTAGAAGACAGTGGTGTTTGTGGTTCCTATATGTTTTGACCAGAGTATATTTAAGCATACATTTTCAAGTACTTTCATCGAAAAAGATAAAATAATAAAGAAAAACTTCATTTTTCATCTGTTACAATGTGCTTCCTTTTTTAACCTTTGGGAAACTGAATGGGAAAAGCTTGTTCAAGGCTGAATATTTGTGTACCTTTCTTTTTGACAGTGTACCTAAATATAAAATATATTGCCTAATCAAATTTTAGTACACATTGTGATTTTTGCCTCAACTAAATCAGTTTTGATTTCATCTAAAAATCGACTACCTCGACAAAATACTCAGATATACACTGTAAAAAGCCTAAGTAGTTAGTTTATCATTGTTAGCAGCTTAATTAGAATCCCACTTCTGTTAGAATTTAGTTAGTGTTAAATTTTATATGGATGTCACACTGTTAGGCAGCGCTTGTGCTAGATTGGTGACATTCTAATTCTTTAAAACAACAAAAAACAGTGATAAAGGTTTGTTATGAGTAAGATACAAGGTTCTGTTAGGGAACTTAGAAACTGCTCTAGGTATATACCTTGACTGTAGGAAATTGTACATGAAATTCTCTTTTTTGAAAAAACTATTTACTGAACTATTTATTGTAAATTTTTATTTATTATAAAAGTCAATAAATGTTAAGTGATAACTTTAAAGGATTTTAAACACCTTGGAAGATGATCCTGTTTACAGAAAGACAACATAAGAAATATGTCAGTAGGTAAATCAAAATTGTAACCAAAGTAGCGATGTGGTGGATAAAATATAAAAACTTAGTGGAAGGTAGCCCTTAACCGGTGTAGAGGCGATCACAGTTAAGAGATTTCGAACATGTCTACATTGGCGCACAGCATCAAGCACTATTTGTTCACTCTGTAGATCTGTATCTTCTCATAAGCTACTAGAACCAAGCCCTATGGATGTGACCATAAGATACAGTCCCACTATGAACAGCTTATTGGAGATATGTATATTTTTTTATCCCTTTTTGATTTACAAAATGTTTTTTTTTTTTTTTTGGAGAGATTTTCACTGTAGGGCGCGTGCGCTCGCCAGACAGACAGAGAGAGACATAGAGACAGAAAGCGAGAAATCACCCCCCAGAGGGGATGGTCACGCCGCAATCCCTTCTCCATTCTCCTCTCGGGATCTTGGGCACGCACGCACACGCGCCCGGCGTGAGTTTTAAGCCACCGGGTCCGGGACACGAACCACGGTCGACTACGTGGGAGTCCAGCGACATAGCCATTACGCTAACTGCTGGTTCCCCAAAATGTTATACATATTTATTGGTACAGTGTTTCTCCAGTGTATGACTAGAATGTGTTATGATCAAATCAGGAGAATTTGCATATCCATCACCTCAAACCTTTGGCATTAGTTGGTGTTGGGAGTATTTGAAATCTTCTTATCTAGCTAACTTGAAATGTATAAGTTATTGTTAACTATAGTCACCCTACTGTGCTATAGATCACTAAACTTTACTTCTATGCGGTTCTAATTCTGTGTCTGTTAATATCTCCCAAACCTCCCTAGTTCCAGCCTTATCTTCTAGTAATCACTATTCTGTTACTTGGAAAGACATATTTTTATATTTTTACAGAGATATATAACATGTACAGAAAATTGCACAAAATCATAAAAAATTGACTCTGAGTTTTCAGTGTTTTAGTATACAGTGAAGATGGCTATGTAATTCCTCTACCTACCCAATTTAAGAAACACTGCCACCACCATGTCTTTTTTTTAAAAAAATTTATTTAATTCCATTTGTCGTTGTTATTATTAATTTGACCAGAGACAGACAGAGAGAGAAAGGGATAGAGAAAAAGCAAGCTGCCAGATCTAGGACCTGAACCGCAGTTGACCATATGGGAATCCAGTGCCTTTAACCATCACACCACCTGCCAGCCCCAACCATGTTTTTTTATAATAATATCAGAAGACAGAGGTTGGGCTAGGTGGTGGTATGGTGGTTAGGGTGGCTGGAGCCCAGATGCCTGTGTGGATGGAGACCAATGCAATGGCTTGAAAACATGCTGGGGACAGGTGTGTGAGTGCGCAAAACCCAGGAAAGAATAGAGAAGGGATTGCATGTAGCCATCCCCTCCTGGAGGTGATTTCTCTTTTGTCCCTATGGTGACCACACAGGCTATAGCCAAGAAAAAAAAAAAGTGGTATGTTATCACGGTGCTCCAATAAAACAATTTGAATAAAAACCACATTTTATAATGTCTCCTGATCTCATTAGGAAATTCTAGACGTATTGGGAAATGGTCAGGATCATTATGAGTGAATACAATTTTTCCAAAATTAAGTTCTGCTTAAAGTCTTGATTTTTTCAAAATCAGGCCCTGCTGAAAGTCTTGAATTTAATCACTAGCATCACCATCAACTGTTTCTCTATACTAAGTTCCTTTTGTTAATTTCCTAAAGATCTGCCAAGTATCCAAGTCTGAATAACCAGTTTGTCAGTTGTTAAAAAAATTAAAGTTGTGTTCCAAGAAAAGGTAACTAAGTTTAAAACCTAACCTCATGGGGACCAGCAGGTAGTGTAGTGGTTAAGGTGCTGGGATGACCACGGTTCGAGTCCTGAATCTGGTGGCTTGCTTTCTCGTTTCCTCTCTCTTTTTCTGTCTCTCTCTGGTCAAGTTAAAATAAATGAATGAATAAATAAAATTGTTATACCTTAGATAGAACTGCATTGTTAGCATAAGTAACACCATTTTCTAAAGCACTGGCATTTTGTGACTTAGTGCTGGGATGACCACGGTTCGAGTCCTGAATCTGGTGGCTTGCTTTCTCGTTTCCTCTCTCTTTTTCTGTCTCTCTCTGGTCAAGTTAAAATAAATGAATGAATAAATAAAATTGTTATACCTTAGATAGAACTGCATTGTTAGCATAAGTAACACCATTTTCTAAAGCACTGGCATTTTGTGACTTACGACATGTAATAGCACCACCCTACCTAATCACAAGATGTGCAGGCAGCACACCACCGCTGCGAAACCACGGTAAAGCAACTAGACATGCCAGGGTGGCCTATAAAACCAGGGCCTCCACAAAAACTACTCTGAACTGTCACTCGGCTATTCTGAACAGTCAGAATTGGACTTTTCCCAGAGAAGGGAGCTGAGTCCTCCCTCAATCTCGGATTTCATACTGTGAGATGCAGCTAAGTCCTCCCCTAGTCTCAGACAGACCTGAGTCCTCCCTTAGTCTTGGATGCACCATCACTGGCTCCTCTGAACATCATCCCCGGCCGGGCTAGCGGCCCGTAACAAGGCTAGTTCCAGCCTGTCTCCTCTGGCCGATTGTCCACTTGCTTCTCTACGATGGCGCCTAGAGTCCGCTTGGGCGCAGACTCCGCACTGGAGTGTTGGAACCCATGTCACGTCCAGTGAAGCCAGCCTGCAAGGACCCGCGCCACCCACGATTCGATCCTTTGTGAGTTTTCCCCGTGCAATAAATATATGTTTAAAACGCCCATCTGAGCCTGTCTCTCCGACAGGGGAGCCTTTATTGTGCCCTGGGACCCTCCCGAACAGTAAGCCACTACTGAATGTCGCACCCCACTTAGCTAGGCATCCTCTCTAATTAACTCAGGATTTTCCTCTTCGCGACAAAAACGAAATAATCTTAAAAAAACAAACAAACAAAAAAACCGAGTGTCACAAGGGCTGTCCTTTGAGGCATCACACTAAAATATACAGCACAATTACTCCGTGAGAACGTCCCCTTTTTTTCACCAAGAATATTTAAAAGGTACTCCAGAGGTCGTTATACTAGAATAACTTTTAAGTTCCACCAAGGATACTCTTGAGTGTCGGCATCTACTTATTTTTTTGCTCTGAGTGTGGTGGTCAACAATACAATAACTACGAGTACAACAGTTTATTACTCATACTCAGGTGCCAGCACGTTACCGCATTACTTTGACTTCCTCCCTAAACCGCGCCTTATTAGCTTTCCGGGGCTGACTGCTGCGCCAGGAGACCGGTTCCTTCCCGCACGCTTCTAGGCCTGCGCAGCCTCACTCTGCGCTCCCTGAGCGTTTCCATGCGCGGGCTCGACGCGCTGGGCGGAGGCTAGAAGGCGCGCTCAGCTTTGGGACCTGGACTACATATCCCAGAAGACAATGCGGTGAAGGCGGCCGCAGTGTTTTCTGGGACTTGTGATCGTGGAGAAAGGATCCGCGGACAAGAAAGACCCAGAGTCTCTTTTCCCTTGTCCGCTACCCTGAAGTGTACACCCCCGAGCCAAACGCGTTTCTTGGGGAACTTGGCACGAAAGGCTGGCAGATAACAATCAGGAGCGATAACTTCCGCTTCCGGTGCGCCGGGGGCAAGCGGAATGTAAACACAGTCCACGGGAGAGGTTAACAAGACCTGAGGCTCCCGGGTCGGTGGTGGGCAGCGTAGGAAGGAAAACCAGGCGACTGAGTGTTGTGGTTAGCTGAAAAAAGAGCTGTTAGAAGTCAGAATCGAGACTCAACCGGGTTGGCAGAGCCCAGACACCAAGGTGGGTCTCCAGGGACAAGCAAGGGGGTCGGGGCCCGCCCTAGCACCGCCGACGGGTAAGACATCGCGCTAGCGCGGTGGACGGCGCGGCTTGGCCCTTTTAGCGGTGGGAGGGACGGAAGGGAGCTTTCTTCACCCCCAGCGTTGAGGGTGTCTGGCAGAGGTGGGTCTGTTCACCTGACCTCTAGTGAACTCGCCGATGACGTCCAGTGCAGACTTTATGATCTTCGCCTTTATGGACATTTTCATTATTGTGGACCCAAGGGGAAGTCACAAATACTGATTTGTGTGTGACATTTTCATACTTGGTTGAGAATCAACGCCTGAGGCCTTAACCTGTGCCTGTTCTTAGCAGTTAGAGCGATGTTTGGGTTGGAAGATGGAGAGGATAATAGGAGTCTGAATGACCTACTGATTTTAGGTACATCGGTTCTCAAATTGCTCACTTCTGAGTACATCTCTTTACCGGGAGTGATGTTCTGATTTCCTGATCGTATTCATGGACTGTTTTTTCGACCTGCTGTGTCCTTGGACGCAGCCAAGACAATAGTTCTCTGTGTGGCTGGGTAAAATGTCAAGTCATCAGCAGTTACTGAGCCTCCTCTATAGGGATCATTGTACCAGTTCAAGAATTTGGAATACAGCGTTATTTATAAGAATTTTTGTGGCATTCATTAAATATATAAAATGTTGTAAAAGTATAAAATGTTGAATGTGTTTGGTTTTGTGAGTTTAACATGAAACCTGTTTCATTATGATTTACTTATATGGTTTCTTAGTTTGGTGAAAAAATGTTGGTGTCTTATGTATCTGACTGTAGATTCAGGAAAGGCACTTGTGTAAGTTTTATTTTCATATTTCTGTAGCCTTACAGCAACCATAAACCATTTAAGATATGTGAATCAACTCTGACTGATAAATTTTCCAGAGTAGAAGGTGATTTGCATTTGTTCTAGGACTCCTTTTTTTGGAGAGGTTTTTGCTATAGGGTGCATGTGCTCGTCAGACAGAGAGAGACAGAGAGACAGAAAGTGAGAAATCACCCTCCACGGGGGATAGACATGGTGCAATCTCTTCTCCTCTATTGTCCTCTCAGGAGCTTGGGCACGCACGCACGTGTGCCCAGTGTGAGTTTAAGGCACTGTGTCCGGGATGCGAACCGTGATTGACTACATGGGAGTCCAGTAACATAGCCATTACGCCAACTGTTGGTCCCTTTAGGACTCCTTTCAAGCCTGGATAATTTCTACTCTTGAAACCTTTAGTCCTCTGGAAGCCTTAAGTTTCCTTTCTCTGATGTCATGGCATAATTTGTTTACACTCTTGTGGCACTTATCCTGTAATATAATTAACTGTACTCTTGTGGTTTCCAGACAGTTTTGAAGAAAATATAAATTGTGCTAAATGGCTTTGGCAACAGACTCATGTATTTTTACCTCAGTGGGCCCTTGACACTGTTTGATTTCACTACTCATCACTTATTGGTGCTTTTCATAATCTCCACAGTGAGTATTTTAGACTTTTTTTCCATTGTTCTCAACCACTCAGATCCGTTTATCTTTCCCTTACTTTGAGCACATGACTGGTCTCTTCCTGAGAAATGCAAAGCTTGAAGTATGAAATCCTTCACTTTCCTTTTCCTCTACCCTTAAACTTTCCTATTCTTTCCATCAGTATTTTGTGAGTGAGATGAATACATTCCTGTTCCTGCCTTTAAGGCAAAACTTGTCAGTTGCTAGTGTCATCAGACTTCCTCAACCTTTATAACCTCATTTTGTCCTGATCTTTACAGCCTGATCTCTGGAAGATCTCCAAGGATTTGCAAGGCAGAATGGCATAAACACCTGAGGCAACTATGTGTGTGGCCTTTTCATACTTGGTTGAAAATCACCGCCTGCGGCCTTAACCTGTACCTGTTCTAAGTAGTTATAACAATGTTTGGATTCGAAGATGGAGCGGATAATAGGAGTCTGAATGATCTACTAATTTTTTTAAAATGAATTATTTAATTATTTAATTTTATTTATTCACTCATTTATTTTAATTTGACCAGAGAGAGACACAGAGATAGAGAGGGGAAAGTAAGAAAGCAAGCCACCAGGTCCAGGACTCGGATCGTGGTCTACCATGTGAGAGTGCCCAGCGCCTTAACCACCATACCACCTGCTGGTCCTGACCTACTAATTTTTAAAAGATAACATTAGTCTGTCTGACCCTTTTTCCTTTGTTCTTCACCCTATTCCCTATTCCTAATAGCGTACGGACCTGACCAATAACTTATAGTGTAATTTGTCTTAGGTTTACACCAGATATATGCTAGTATTAATAGGATTCCCACACAGCCTGATGCCTCACATTGCTATACAGAAACAAAGTTACATTTGGAAACTTGAAACCAGAAAATTTAGTCATTCTTTTACTTACACGTATAATCATAAATACAAGACTTCTTTCTTTTTTTTGACGCCCAAAATTTATTTTTAGTTTTTCAACTAAAAATAGCAGCACCCCTAATAGGGTCCTGATGTTGCGATCCATCTCCAGCTAGTTCTGGATCATGTGCAAATGCGTGCCTGGCATACCCAAGGAGGTCTCTGGATGCTAACCTGAAATACTATAATGTAGGTCACTCTGAGAGACCATCATGTTTTACCACCACTATGCCTTCTGTCCACTAAGACTCCTTTGTTGTCCTATCTTGGTGTCTCATGAGGCCTTCCTAGTCATCCATTATCTCAGGTTGTCTTCATTCTGTGCCTCTGAAATTCTGTTCCAGAGTAACAATACTCCCATTTTTAACCATTTCTTGGTTCTTCACCAAAGACCCTTGCAGTTGTTTTGAAACATAAAGACTCATTCTCCCATGTTACGATGGGTCCAGACAGAGAGTTTGCATTATTCTAATTCCTTAGTATAGTTTATAATCCATTACTTTTCTAGGTTTTCCTAGAAATCCCTGCTCCTATGGAAAGCTTCTGATTCATCTATATTAACATGTACATTTCTGACTTGCTGTGATTTATTCATATGTCTTCATGTTCAGTAAGAACTTAGGCATATGAGCCAGCAGATAGTATGAAGGTTAAGACAACAGACTCCCACATGGCTGGCTGTGCAGTTTGAATCCTGGGCCTGGCGGCTTGATAATCACCTGGGTACATGTGTGTGCATGTCCAAAATCCTGAAAGGAGAATGGAGGAAAAGGTTTTGCGGTGTGGCCATACCCCTGGGGAATGATTTCTCACTTTGCCCCTCTCTCTCTCTCTCTCTCTCTCTCTCTCTTTCTCTCTCTTTCTCTGGTGAGCACATGTACTCTATAACAAACTTAAGAAAAAACAATTAGGAATGTGAATCAAAATTTTCTTACCTCTTCAAATTGTTCCATTGTGTTGGGATGTTCTGTGTGAATGATTTCACACCTACCCTCATTTTTTTTGTCGTCATCTTTCCAACAGTTACTTCAGCTGTTTGCATCAGTGATAAAGACCTTGATGTCTGCTAGAACTTATTCCTTTTCTTTCTCCCTTCCTTATTCCCACAGTGCTTTTTATTTTTTAAAGAGAGATTTTTGCTACAGGGCTCACATGCTTGCCAAATAGGCAGAAAGCAAGAAATCAACCCCCCCCGCCCCCACTGGGGAATGGCCACGCTGCGATTCCTTCTTCTCCATTCTCTGCTTGGGATCTTGGGAATGCATGCCCATATACCTCGTGTGAGTTTTAAGCTGCCAGGTGTGGGACTCAAACCATGGTCGACTAGATGGGAGTCCAGTGATGTAACCATTATGCCAACTGTTGGTCCTTTTGTATTGTTGTTGTTAATAGTGCCTTTAAAAAAAATTTAACTTTATTTATTTATTTAAATTTAACTAGAGAGAGAGAGAGAGAGAGAGAAAGGGAAAGTGAGAAAGCAAAGCACCAGGTCTGGGACTCAAACTGTGGTTGGACCCACCACACCAACTGCTGGCCTCTTTTTTAATGATAACCTGGTTCATTGTTTTCCCCTGCTTTTCTACTTGATTAGTCAGTTGATCATAATTTTCTTGGGATTACAGACTCCTTTAAAAATGGAACAAAAGCTTAGAAACTCTTCTCCAGAATGCACATAGGCATATGCAAATTATGTATACAGTTGTACGTGTTCACAGTATCTTGAAGTCCATCCACGCAATTAGTAAATTCTTGGATCTCTTAGTTAATTATTATTTTTTAAATTCTATAGTAAAACTTTTAAACATTATTTTAAAATAAATATGCATATTAAAAAAAGAGTGGGTAGCGCACAGATAAATCATTATCCATTGCCACAGGTCTCGTTAACACCTGATTAAATGGATTGCATTTAAAAAGAATTATTTATCATTATTATTGTTTTCTTATTTGTAACAGGGCATTTGAGCTCACCAGAGAGGGGGAGAGGGCAGGAGAAAGAGGGGGGAGAGAGAAATGGAAAGGGGGGCAGAGAGAGAAAAAGAGAGAGAGAGAGAGAGAGAGAAAGGAAGCCGCCAGGTCCCAGATGTGGATATGGTGCTGAGGACCATTTGATAGTCTTGAGTTTTAACCGCCATGCCATCTACTGGCCCCATTATTTCTTTTTCTAAATAATTTGTTGAATTCTTTCAGTTTCCTTTGACTTTGTTCTATCAATTATCTTCTCTTTGATATCCTTTATTAGTATATCATTGTAGATTTATAAAGCACCTTAACATCTGTTTTTATTTATTTACCTATTAAGTTCTGTGGATTAAGTCATTTGTCAAGTTTGAATTTTTATCTTGAAGAATTATTTTATTTAACTTTATTTACTTATTTATTTGCTTTAATTTGACCAGAGAGGGACAGAGAGAGAGAGAAAGTGAGAAAGCAAGCCACCAGGTTTGGGACTCCAACTGTAGTCGGCCATGTGAAAGTCCAGCACCCATAAATATCCTGCCACCTGCCAACCCCAAGTTTGTATCTTTTTTTGGTAAGAATTATTTATTTAATTTTATTTATTTATTCATTTATTTTAATTTGACCAGAGAGAGACACACACAGAAAGAAAGTGAGAGAGAATGTGAGAAAGCAAGTCACCAGGTCCAGGACTTGAACCATGGCTGGCCATGTGGGAGTGTCCAGCACCTTAACCACTACACCACCTGCTAGTCCCCATATCTTTTTTTTTTTTTTTAAGAAAGTTTTATTTATTTATTCATTTATTTTAATTTGACCATAGAGAGAGAGAAAGTGAGAAAGCAAGCCACCAGGTCTGGGACTCAAACCATGGCTGGCCCTGTGGGAGTCCAGTGCCCATAACCACCTCACCACAAATCCCAAGTTTGAATCTTTTAAAGCCTTTTTATTATGGAAAATTTCAACACACATGAGAGGAGAAAGAGAGTACAGTAAACCTTGATGCTCTCAGGGTCAAGAATCATTTCATAGCAATGCTATTTTAGCTGTATCTTCTCTTCCACTGTACTTCCCACCCCTGCTGATTAGTTTGAAACAATTCCTAGATATCATATAATTTCATATGAAATATTTCAATATGTATTCCTACATATAAGTATTCTTTTTATAAGTGAAATCACAATACTGTTAACACACCTAAAAAAAGATAGCTGTGTTTCCTTAATATCAGATATCAAAAGAGTGTTCTGTTTTCTCCTTATTGTTTTGTGTTTTCTTCCTTTTGGCTTTTTTGGATCAAGAGCTAAACAAGACCCACACATTAGTGGTTATTGTATCTTTTAAGTCTCTCTTAATCTAGGGGTGACCACTCATCTTATTCTTCTCTTTCCTAGAATTTAGTTTTTGAAGAATCAGTTTTACTTTTCTTTAGTTTCTGTTTTCTGCTGTCTATTCTGACATGCGGTTGAGCATGCTTACTTGTATCTCATATTTTTTATAAACTTATAGAAACTGTCTGATTCAGCATTAGTTTCTGCAAGAGTACTTCATGAGTAGTGTGCCTCTTTCACCGGGAGGTGTGTAATGTCTAGTTTTTTCTTTGTGTGTGATGTTGGAAGCTACTAATGATTATTGCCTAGACCCATTAATTATGGGTTAAAAGACAGTGATAGTCTAATCCTTTTATTCCTTTTTTACCTATTAGTTAGAACACTTCTATAAAGGGCAAGTTAGAATTTTAAAGCTGTTTCTTTGTATTTTTCCAGAATGGCTTCCTTTGGGTGGAAGAGGAAAATTGGTGAGAAAGTCTCAAAGGTCACTTCCCAGCAGTTTGAAGCTGAGGCTGCTGATGAGAAGGATGTCGTTGAGAATGATGAGGGGAACTGGCTTCATACCATGAAACGTAGGAAAGAAATTCTCCTTGAAGGCTGTGCTGAAAAAAGCAAGCAGCTGAAGGATGAAGGAGCCACTTTGGCTGAAAATAAAAGGTATGTTTTTAGAATTTTCACATGAAGAAAGGTTTACATTTTATGCCCCAATATCAGTAATGGAATGAAGACTTAGGAATTCTGTAAATTTGTGCTTAAAATCTTATCTAGTCCTAAACTAATCAAAGAAATGTTTCAGAGTCACCTGAAAATTTCCATTTTCAGAGAAAATGTGGGCTTGTGAAATAGTCTTCAGAATATATAAAATGTCTCTGCCATCTTTTTTGTTTTGTCTAAAAAACAGTAAACACAAGCCAGTTGGTGGCATGGTAGTTAGGGTAGCTGGATCCCACATGGTAGACTATGTGGTTGAGTCCCAGACTTGGACCCGGTAGCTTGAGAAACACACTGGATGCCCAAGATCGTGAAAGGGGGGAGAAAAGGATGAGAACTATTTGTAGTGTAACCATTTCCCATGGGTTTTCATCCACCTGCCTCTGGCAAAGGCCTCTGACAAATTAAAAAAAAAAAAAAAAAGGAATAAATGTAAGTAAAGTGCACTCAGCTTACTGATTAGTAGAAGATAGTCTAATTGCTAGAAACATCCCTCTTACAGTATTATGTCTTATGAATTAGGCATTCCCGAAACAGCTTTGAGGGCATATACATTAAAGAAAACAGATATTTGGAGGGAGCGGCTATATCTAGACAAAAAGCCAGTGACCTTTGAAGCAGGTATGGTCTTGGTGCTGACACTTCAGGGGAAGTGAAAGCTCTAATGAAGACAAGATCTGCACTACAGGGCAGTGTAAATTAAAGGAAACTCTGTGCCAGCCAGAGAAGATCAGGAGAGACATGTCTAGAACCACGGGACACCAGATGCTCCACAGCTGCAGTGGATAATAGAAAATACCTGGCTTTGCTGTATAAAAGAAGAAGCCTCAGAACAAATCAGTGCTGTGGCATTCTCCATCAGAGACACCCAGACTGCCCAGTCCCCGCTTTCTTCTACTTGTGTGTCTGTATTTTTTTTTTTTTAAATCCATTGCTGCTCCCTCTCAGGGTCCTCCCCAACCCCTGCTTCATTGGGTCAGGGTAGATATTCAGTTATCCATTCCCATTTTCTTTTTATATACTTTAGTAAATGCGACTAGTTACATAAGAATTTGATAATAGCTTCATTTATTCATAACCCTTTCTTAGCATAGCTTTTTTTTTTTTTTAAAGAAAATGTTTAATTAAAATTTTACTATTATTTTTTCTTTTAAAGAATTATTTAATTTTATTTATTCATTCATTTATTTTAATTTGACCAGACACACACACACACACACACACACACACACACACAGACACACGAGGCAGGGAAGCGAGAAAGCAAGCCATCAGGTCCAGGACTCAAACCATGGTCGGGGATGTGGGAGTGTCCAGCACCTGAACCACCACGCCACCTGCTGGTCCCCCCCCCAAATTTATTATTATATTATTCTTCAATTTGAAGAGAGAAGACAGAGAGAGAAAGCAAGCTGCCAGGTCTGGGATCAAACTGGGTTGAACCTTTTGAGAGTCCAGCACTTAACCACCACACCACCCATTGGCCCCTTTTAGCTAAGCTCTTATACTGCTCCTATGTGTTTCTTTTTTTTTTTAATACTCTAAGAGTTTTTTAGTCAAAGCAAAAGTCAGTGGAGAAAGGGAGATTCTTCTTTTTTTTTTTAGAGGTTTTTGCTGTAGGGCGCATGTGCTCGCCAGACAGAGAGACAGAGAGACAGAAAGCGAGAAATCACCCCCCCAGGGGGGATGGCCACGCCACAATCCCGTTTCCTCCATTCTCCTCTCGGGATCTTGGGCACGCACACACGCCCAGTGTGAATTTCAAGCCACCAGGTCCGGGACGCGAACCGCGGTCAACTACATGGGAGTCCAGCGACATAGCTATTACGCTAACTGCTGGTCCCAGAAAGGCAGATTCTTTATTGAATTGTGTTGAGAAAAATTACTATAAAGAGAAAATAAAACTGGATCTATAACTAATACTGTACTCACAATAGGACCCTAAAGGCCTGAGCCTTTTTTATTCCAAAGGCAGAAATCACTTTATTATGTGAAAATATTCCTGAATGAAGCAGTTCTTTATGTGAGGTTGAGTCCAGCAAACAGATTTGTGACCATGAGGCTTATCCTTGATTAGAGTTATATGAATCACATGCGTAACATTATACCTAGAATAGTTACTGAACTCAGAGGCTAGGAACTTGGAAAAGCCTCCTGCTGCACCTGTCAGCAACTCCCATCAAATGCAAATATGAAAGATAAAACTATACAGCTAATAGAAGAAAATACATACGAGTATCTTTATAGCATAGAGTAGATAGAGTGGAGAAGGTTTTTTTTTTTTTTTTTTTTTTAATTTGGAAAAATTCTAGAGGACAGCAGGTGACATGGTAGTTAAGACATTGGACTCCCTCATGGTTGACTGTGGTTTGAGTGCTGAACTTGGCAGCTTGCTTTCTATCTCTCTCTTTCTCTTGCTCTCTCTCTCTGGCAAGCACACATGCCCTAAAAAAAAGTTAATAAGAATAATAAATAAATAAAATAAGCTTTGGGAAAAAAGAAAAATTTCAAATCTGTGTTAAAGTTGACAGAATACAACTTCGAATCCCTCCATTTAGAGTCAATTTTTTTTTTTCCTTCAGAATTTTGCCTTAGGACATGTGTACTTGTTTGAGAGAGACAGGAAAAATGAGAAATCATCCCCCTGGGGGATAGTCATGCTGCAATTTCTTCTTCATTCTCCTCTTGGGATTTTGGGCATGCACACACATACCTGATGCGGTTTTCAGCTAGGTCTTACTCGAACCGTGGAGTCAGCTGTGTAGGATCTGGTGCCTAAAATTTATGTATTTATTTCTTCCATGAGCAAGAGACAGAGAACCCCCGACAGGGTCTTGATACTGTGATCCACTCCTAGCCTTTAGGCACCCGTAGATTATGTGCACACATTGCCTGGTGTACTCAGGGACATCTCTGTACTCAGCCTCTTTCACATGGTGGGTTGTGTTTTACTACTGCACCACTCACTGTCTTTACAGGTTTTTTTTTTTTTTTTTTGGCTAATCTATTTGAAATTAAATTGCAGACATTGTGATACCTATCCTAATTCAGCATGCTTCTCCTAAAAATAAAGATGTTTTATTTTTAACATAACATAGTATTATCAAACCTGTGAAGGTTAACAATTCCATAATCTAATATAAAGTTTATATTTAGGTGTTTTTAATTTTCCCTCAAATGTCTTTACACACACTTTTTTTTTTTTTTTAAGAGATATTTTTGCTATAGAGTACTTGCCCTTGCTGGAGAGACAGAGAGAGAGACAGAAAGTGAGAAATCATCCCCCAGGAGAGAATGACCATACCATAGTCCCTTCTCCTCTTGGTATTTTAGGCACACACACACACACACACGTGCCTGGAGTGAGTTTTAAGCAGCCAAGTCCAGGACTCGAACCACAGTTGAGTATGTGGGAGTCCAGCAGCATAACCATTATGCTATCTGCTGGTCCCTATAGTATATATTTTTAAAACCAGTATCTAAACAGACCTCACACATTATAGTTGGTTAGTACGTCTCTTTAGTATCTTATAATATACTTGGGCCCCTTACTGTTATTCCTCATGATAGTGGCTTTTTGAAGAATTCAGATCAGTTTTACATTTTGTTATTTTCCTTGTGTATATCATTAACTTAACTTATTTTTGTATCCTGTGTATTTTTTGGAAGTTGGATATAGAGATTTGATCTGGAGTCTAAACATTTTTGGCTAGAGTATGTCATACGTAATATTTGTGCTTTATATCACATCATATTGGGAGATAAATAACATCGCAGGCATTGGAAGCCATTGTGTCTAAGCCTGTCTGTTTCTGTTTGATATCTCTGTTGAAAGCTATATTTTTTTTAAGAATTATTTTTATTTAACTTTATTTATTTTAATTTGATCAGAGAGGGATAGAGCAAAAAAGAGAGAGAGGGAAATTGAGAAAGTAAGCTGCCAGGTTTAGGATTCGAACCATGGTCAGCCACGTGGGAGTGCAGAGCCCTTAACCACCATTCCACCTACTGACCCAAAAGCTGTATTTTTATAAAATTCTTAAAGCATTTGTTCATGGCAAAAAAATATATATATAAAGAAAATTTTACTTTACAATATGAGAACTGTTATTTATTTGCACTAAATATATGTTTTTTAGAAATATGTATGTCTGGGGACTGGCAGTTGGCATAATGGCTATGTTGCTGGACTCCCATGTAGTCGACTGCTGTTCAAGTCCCAGACCCAGTGCCTTAAACTCATGCCAGGCGCATGTGTGTGTGTGCCCAAGATCCTGAGAGGAGAAGGGATTGTGGCATGGCCATCCTCCCTAGGGAGTTATTTCTTGCTTTCTGTCTCTCTGTCTCTCTCTGTCTCTCTGGCAAGCGCATGCTCCCTACAGCAAAACAAAACAAAACAAAAACCAAAAACCTCTCCAAAAAAATCCAAATATATATGTCTGAATTGGCCTTTGATTGGGACAGAATACTTTTCAGGTCATCCAGAAATCTAAAATCAGGCCCTTGTGCCTTTGCCTGGTATCTTACATGTTGTATTAACGAGTTCAAGGAACTAAAAGTGAATGAAGTGTTACTAAGCAAGAAGCATTTTTTCTTTGTTCTTTTTTCTTACTTATTTATGATAATAAAATCAAGGTTATTACTGTGTACATCATCTTCAGTAGAGAATTTTACATTCTTAGGTCTGTTAAGTGTTTGTTCCCTGTACTTCTCCCACTCATCCTGTACCATCCTTTCCCTTCTTTCAGACTCTGGTATCTGCATTTATCCTTGCTGCTTTCATATTTTCATATTTTTCAATTTCTGCCGTAAAGTGCAGACATTCAAGTATGTATTGAGCAAGGATATACTGCTATACCAGAAAATGGAGAATGTTTGTCTTTTTAAAAAGAACGATTTATTTTATTTATTATTGTTATTATTTTTTTATCTTTTTTTAAAAGTTT